GTGCTTTGTGTCTCCACCTATGCCTCAAATGTGTAGCGCTCCCTCAAACTCGGCTCAGAGTCAGAAGGGGAGGAAGATTTGAACCAATCTTCCTATCCCCATATCAGTTGCCGCAGTTAATCACCCTCTTTTACTGTTAACAGAGAAGGAGTTCTTTGGTCGGCATTTTTATTTTCTGGCCGCCATGTAGCCAACTACTCTGCCATGGGTGTCTATCATCACCTCTTGCGGAATTTGGCATTGCCCATTCTGCGGGTAGCTCCTGTGCATCTTTACAGTTAAGGCTTCCCATATCACTAGGAGGCAATGAGGCAGGCGACGTTGCTGGGACCAGTTGTGTTGGCTCTTGCCTTTGCATTGAACTATTTCAACGATGTGGAGAGTGGGGAATTTGCTGCTTGGGTAACAGCCTATCCTCAATATTATTTTACCCAGGCTTTGTGCTCTGGGGAGGAAACTCATACAGAGCACGTTACCATAGTCTCTCGAGACTGAAGGATGCCTAACCTGGTTACTACATTCTCTCTGGAATATAGCTCGGTGCTGCACACAGCGTTCCATCTGCTGTGCTCGGTCCTGGATGATCATACCTGTAGCAGACTTGAAAGGAGCAGATTTCTTCTGTATTGGACCTAAAGCCTGCTTGATCCCGTCATACATTCCCTTGATGTTACCTATGTCTGCTGCTATCTGTATCTTTGAGCAGTGCTGTTAAAATGTATCAGAAATAATTATCTCTCCTGTAGGTCCTCCTGCATTCCCTTTCTTATGTGAATCCAGTGGTAAGGGGCCTTCATCCTAGTCCTTGCCAACTTAGCACAGAAGGCTGTACTTAAGGAAGCTATTTTGCATGGAAAATTTAATTGCCCCTGAATTGTCCCTTTGAGAGTCCTCTTTTCTTTTTCCTAAGCTGCTGGATAAATGCCAGCAAGATGCACCTCAGCTTGCAGAAAGGAAAACTCCCCTACCACTGAGTCCAGCTGGATACCCAAGTACACCAGTTGAGTAGTTGGGCCCCACTGTGATTTTATTCTCTTTCTTTCTTTCTTTCTTTCTTTCTTTCTTTCTTTCTTTCTTTCTTTTCTTTCTTTTCTTTCTTTCTTTTCTTTCTTTTCTTTCTTTCTTACCTACCTACCTACCTACCTGACAGCTTGATCGTTCAAGTTCTCCCATAATGCCCTCCAGCTCTATCATTAGCACCCTGGACAGCAGCATAAAGTTGTCCCAGAATAGTCCTGTGGTTTAGGATGCAGGCAGAGTGTTGGTAGCTTTTGTCTGAATTAACAGTGGATGAAATGAAAGCCAATTAAATACAGTAAATGACATGAAAACCAATTTTTCTGTGATGCAAATGTGCCCTCAGCTGAAGAAAATAAATTAGGACATGATCATGAGTGCCTTGATAGGATTTGTTGTATACTTTTTCTCTAGAGTCACATAATAACTCTTATACAGTACTACATTTAAAGACTTTTGATGATTTATGAAGTAACATTTTTGTTGCATATGCTATGGAGTGATCTGGGCCTTGCATGCATTTTAGAAAAATGCATTGGCGTATGCTTCTGTCCCAGTTCTCCTCCATTACAGCCATTTTGTCCATACTTAACTGACAAGAGTCTTTCCCAGCCCTATTTGGGGATGTTAGTGCAAATAGTGTGTTTTATCACAGTATTATAGTCCTCCAGCAGAGAACTTCATTTGATTGCTCCATCCATTCATCAGTTTCAGTCTACATCATAAGACACGTAGTGAACAAAAAAGCTTGGGTCATGTTAAAAAGGCTAACAAATACATCATTGCATAAGCTTATGTTGACCTAAGAGTCCACTTCATCAGATGCATGAGTTGGTTACTTAAGTGGTCACTTAGAAAGAAAAAAATATTTGCTTTATAGGATTTGAACAAAAAGATTAAGCAGGTAGCATCAGTCCGGGATGGCTTGTGGATGGAGACATGAGGTGCCTCTCTGCCCTGGTCATGAGCCATTTATGATCACAGTACTGCTTCTGTGTCATTTGATTTTGTTAGGATGAGAAGACTTTAAGGCCTGGGACTGACTATTGTAGTTTTTTGCCACCTAATATTATTGTATTAAATATTTATAACTATTTTATAGTCTCTATTATTTATTAGTTATTTTATTTTTAGTTATTATGTTCTTTGATTCCTGTTTATGTGGTTTTTATGGAGGTTGTTGTGTATTTTGCCTTATTGTGATTTGTTTCTCTCCCAGAGTAGGGGCTGTGCCACTGTGAGGGTTCGCTGTTAGCCTCCACATTTTTTTCCAAATAAACCAGGAGTCATACTTAAACCAAAGTCTGAAGTTTTATTTATGTATCTTGTCAACGGTAACGTTTCTAGGCAACTTCTCTTGCGAAACCATAAGGGCAACCACAGTTCAGTTTCAAAAGGGTTTAACGATTTAACTTCCCACGGTCCCGGAACAAGTGGGTCATAATCAGGAACTTCTCCTTCCGTTACTTCACGTTCAGTAACAGTAGGGTTTCATCTTCTCGTTCGTCTCCCCACATCGGGGATCCCTCTCCCTCAAAGACTCTCCATGGTCCCGGAGGTATCTCATACTCCGCACCTCCTCGGCACACCATGCCCGGCGCTCTTCAGCTTCCCTTGCGCCAGCTTCTTGTTCCTCAGCTGTCTCCTCCACTCCCTTGCTTCCGACTCTCCCCAATATGATGGACATTGGGGAAGCCCTCTCCGTCGACGGTAGTCAGCTTCCTCTTTGGGCACCTTGATCTTTTCCCATTTCCCAGTCCATGGGTCTTCTACCCAGATCAGTTCCCAACCGCCTGGTATATTGTCTCGACCCATATTTATATTCCCCCATTCCCGCCTCAACTACAGACCACCCCTGTTCATCTCTTCCCGCCAAATCCTTTCCCTTTCAACCCCTGTAGATTCATCTCCAACTCCCAGGTATCTATACTCTGGTGTACCAACCTGGGAGGGGTTAGTGGCAAAGTGGTCTCTTTTTCTTTAGATTACTTACTGAGAGACGGCACTCCGACGAGAGCCTCTATGCTCTCATCTCGCTTACCACAGCCACTAGTTGGGAGAGAGAAAGATATAAATAAATAAAATAAATAAGATATCTTCCCTCCTGTTTTTAAAGAAAACAACCAACAGCAATCAATTTATTGGGTAGTTATTCTCTTCAGTAATTACAAAATCAGAATTAACCCTCTATGCTTTGCAAGTATAAATACCAAGTATTCTTAATAGCTGAGTATCTGCTTCACAGTGGGATCAAATTATACCAACAGTACAAACAAGCATAGATCTTAGACCAGAAGTTCTTGAATTTTTTGGCATAACATGTCTCTTCACATCTAATTTATTATTTTGCAACACATTTTGAACAACAGCAATAAAAATATTTACACTTATTTTAATTATTGCATTAATTTCTTCAAAATTAAAAATAGGATGAAAAAGTAAAAATAAATTTAAATTAAAAAAATAAGCATGAAGAGTTTTTCGTGAGAAACCATATATTCTGGTAGCAACAGGTCTTTGTTTAAACTTATAAAACTTTTTTTTGTTTTTGAAAATATTATAGGTTTTTGCATTCCCCCTGGAATTCCTTCACATATAACCCATAGCACAGGAGAACACAAAGTTCTGCTATTTCTGGTTTCCTGCAGTAGTTGACTCCAGTTGTGGGGACTTGTCGGGATCTGCTCATCTTTTGTTATGTTCTTTTCTCTGGTTGAGTACTGATGCACATTTTGTAAGTGTTCATTCTTATACAGAGTACAGTTGCAAATGCAATAATTTTAAAAAGTGTGTGTGGGGAAGATATGCTTCAATGCCTCATACCCAATAAACTCAAATGTTCCAACTCTTCTTACACCATGTGTCTTGAGACTTGTTCTCTCACCTGGAGTCTCAGGGAAGAAAAGCAATTCCTTGAGATTTCATTTGGCATTCTAAAACCTGGCAACACTACCTGATGATGCCTCCTAAAGGCCTTGCACGCAACGTGCAAAGTTCTGAGACTTCCACCACCATCACCACAAGGGATCAGGTTGTTGAAAACTGGGCTTGGTGCATGTGGCTCCTACCCGGTAAGATTCTGAAAATGTGTGGGGATCAGCATCTAACCAAGGCTAGGTAAAAAGTGAAAAATTCAACATGAGCTGACATTTACAACGTTTATAGGTCTGGTACTGTATATTTGACAGCGTGGAGATACCAAGCAGAAAACTGCACAGTGAATGCTTTGACTTGATGCATCTCAGAAAAATCTTCCAAAAATGAGTTGCGGCAGAATGTGTTTAGGGCAGACAAATGAAAAATAACACCAGAAATGAGACACAAGACGTCGACGGACCCTGTGGTTAGTTAAGAAGCAGGCAGCGGCCTCAGGCGGCAAATTTGGGTCGTTGTGAAAGGACGTCATCATTCTTGCGCTTTCCAACAGGCAGAGCCCAGGAGATGTATTGGGCCACGTTTCTTTCTCATGTGCCGAAATGACTAGGGTCGCTTGCCTTTAGCGACTGCCTGCCTTGACTGTCGACGAGCCCCGACGAACCCCCTCAGGCTAGCCCGGCGCAAGACAAACGTCGGCGGAGGCACTGGGAAGCCTGCTGTCCTTACACATCCAGCCCTGCAGGTGTCAGTAGAGTCTGCCAATCGCCGCGCCAGGCCTTGGGCAGGAAGCTTCTCCTCCTTCGGCTCCGTTCCTCCCCCGCCTGCCCGCCCGCCCGTCCGCTCCCTCCCTGTCTCCCGTTCCTCGCCTGCTCTCGGTGCGAGCCAGACTCGCTGCTGCTGCTGCAGACAGGCAGCAGCCAGAGGAGGGGAGGCAGGCGAGGGAAGGACAGGAGGCGGCGGAGGAGGCGGGACTGGGAATGAGTTGGAAGGAGATCGCGGCTCAGCGCGCAGATCTCGCCTGCCGGAGACGGGCAGACGGAGAGGCAGGCAGGCAGACCCAGACACGGGGGCAGGGAGGGACGGAGGGAGGAGGAGACGAGGAGGGACTTCCATCGCCTCTGCACAAGGGAAGCCTGCCTCCTGGTGCTTCAGGGGCGAGACGTGCAGGGCTCGGAGGAAAGGTGAGTGGCTGCGTGTGGGCACAACCTGCTGGGGCTGGGCAGGAGGAGATGCCGCTCGCCGGGGAAACGAGGGGGCGCTCCCGAGAAGGGAAGGAGTTGCCCCCCCGACGCCCCCCCCCCACGGGCAGCCCCACCAGCAGCACGACGAGGCTAGACAGTCGGAAACTTAAGTGTCTGGCAAAGTGAGGAGGAGAGGCCCAAGTTTCAGGTCTGCCCTCTTAAAAGGGACGGGGCTCTTCTTTTGGGGTGGGGTGGGGGGGCGCGCGCGGCGGTGCTCTCGAGAAGAAGGTGTTCCCCGTTTCCCCCCTTTTGTGTCTCATGAGAGCCTTTCTTTGCCCCCCCGACCCTCCCTCCGGCTCCCTCCCTCCGGCTCCCGGGCAAAGTGCGCGCAGGAACCGCGAGTGTGAGACTGCGCGCGTGAGGTGCAGGATGCGGACGGCAAACGCGCGGGGAGCGGTGGGGAGCAGCCAGGCGGGGGAGAGTCTGGTCGCGCACAGGCTTCTGCCGGCGGCGCAGCGCGAAAAGGGTCTGCGCCCAGGTTTGGCGCAATGTCAGGCGGGAGGCGCCCGTCTCCCAGGAGGGGAGCAAATCGGGGACGGAGGCTTCCTCTCGGGGCTTCCCAGCCCGCAGGTGTTTCCGATTACCTTGGCAGCCGAGGGTTTGGTTACAGGCGGCGGCATGAAGTTCGTTAACCTTTCCAGCATCTCTCTTGTTTCATTTGGAACAACCAACACGAGGAGCTCAGGGAGCGACTCTTTCTTGCCGCCCTTGACGACGAAGCTTTAGGACGGTTTGCATGTGAGCTGCACCTGGATTGTTTCGCTGAGGGGTCCTTGTAGCGGAAGATGGCAGGATAGGCGCGATTTCTTTCTGGTTTGTGTCTGTGGTTTGAAGAGCTCTTTTGGGGAAACCCAGAGTTTGAGCTGGAGTCCTGAGAGAATGGCAGTTTATCTCCGACGTGTTGGAAGCAAACGTTTGTGGTACAGGAATGTGAATAAAACAGAATAGAGAAAAGACAGGTTTGTGGGTGGGTGGGGGGTAATTTTCGAGCTGAATATTGCGCAAGAAATCTTTTTAGAAACATGGGGAAATGGTTGAAATCACCATGGACAGTAGAAATCTTGATGAATTGGACAACTTCAGAGCAGTTGAGGTAAAGGGACTGTCACAGAGGCACCTGCTTATGATAAAACTGTACAACAGACTGATGCCTGTGACTTTTTTCTCAGCATCCAGAGGCCTTAAGCATCTCATGCTCTCTTTGCTTGTAGGAAAGCATGCCTACAAAAATGGTCTGTCCTTTTCACATAGCAATAGAACTTTTAAAAAACGTAAGTACCTACCTTGCTACACATGGCAAATGAATATGTATTTGCATATTCAGATTACTGTATTATTCTTTTTTTGCAGGGAAGACTTTGATGGAGAACTGCGTTTTTCTCTTCTATGGAAATAAGAACCAATTAGGTTGATAGGGGACCCCAACACCCAGTTATCTATGGCCCTTTAAAGAGTTCAGCTCTGAATGCTGAAAAGTTTTTCAGAGTGTGTTCTAGTATGCTGATTATGCGTTTATTCATTTGGTAATTTAATGTGATCTGAAAAGAAGATTAAGGGTGTGAAATGTGGTTATTTTAGAATGTCTGATATGTCTCTCATTTGCTTGCATTTCGTGTGTATGTGTCGTTATATGAATTGATAATGCAACTGAACGCATTTCTGAAAATATAGTACTTTGGAAGTAATTTTGATATCCCCTCCCGTCTTTAACTTAAATTAATTTGTATTTAAGAGTTTGATGGGTCCAGTTCTGTGTGTATTTACTCAGAAGTGAGTTTCACTTTATTCAGTCACATTTACTCAGCAATAAAGTGCGCAGAGTGCAGCATAAAACTGTGGGTAGCTGAAGACAATTTATGGAGAATGTTTTTAACTGGCATTTTCCCCATGTTCCTTGTATGTCTTATTCTAATAGCTGTGCATGTCCAGGTGACTCTTTTAGTACAATCCTATATAGGTCTAGTCAGACGTAAGGCTCATTAAGTTCAGTGGGAACCTGGGTGAGTTGGTTTGGGGTTGTAGCCTCGGTCTATTTAACTGAAGTTGTTTATTTCATTGGCTTCAGTGCTAATTATATTTGTTTACTGATGATATGGTAGTTTTGTGGCTACTAGGAAACATGTAATACTGTATCTTCCCTGTTGATAGAAATGAAGCTGATTGTTTACCCGGGGCAGGACATTATTGGAGATGGCATATGTTAAAATTGGTGAATGTCCCTACTGCATTGCCAGTTGAAATAGTGACAAAATGTTCTGCGTGTCTGTATCTGTGCTGGTGTTTTGAGCATAAAGTATTGAATTACCTACAGTGATTGTATCACAAGATTCTGTAGTGGGAAAATCTTAATAAATGCTTCTGTTATGGAGGAGTTCAGTTTTAGTCCAAAGGCAGGATGGACCCAGACCTCCAGCAGTTACGGCTGCTCATAATGCTCACAAATTATTTTTTTAGGTGTTGGTTTCTTTCATACACACTTTAGTTTATACTTGGTTCCTGAGGAGAGGGCGGTAAATGATCTAGGTCTGTGTTCAATGCACTTGATTTTCCTTGAAGTATTTATTGTTGTTATAACGTGAAGGCCTTTTGCTGTAACTAAAACAAAAGAGAGGACATTTTCTCTTGACTTATTTAGTGAGGTAATCTACTGAGCACTTGACCCCATCACAGTGTTTGCCTTACCTTTCTGTGTAGCAGACCTGCCGGTGGCATCAAGTCAACATGTGAAATCTAGCCTTACTCCTACCAACTCAAGAGAATTTGCTAGCTTTTAAAATTTAACGAGCAAAATTTTGACATGGTGTTTCTGTCATTAGTTGGCTCTTCCCTATTGATAGAGGGAAAATCCACCTATAGTTGAATCCTGTTTTTCAGTCCTCTGCTCATTCTCCTTTTTGCTTTTTTCCCCATAGACATGCAGCCCCTTGAATGCAGTATCACTATCCATTTAATTTACAGTCTGTGATCTCTTGTGTCCACATCAGGTACTTCTATAACCATGGGAAGTGTGTTCTAATGCTATCCTAAGTAATCCTTTGACTTCTGTCAAAAATGGCTTGTATACAATTCTATACAATTTATTTTCTTTGTTATTTAGTAGATCTGTGAATGTTCTCAAAAGCTCACTCAGTTCTATGTGTGAGTTTCACTTTCATAAAACAGGTTCATGATACATAATACAGTAGTAGTAACCTTCCAATGGTTTTTCACTCTTGGGACTGCTTTTTAATTTCCTTAGCCATGTCAGATTGTAGGGCAGGGTATTGGGTTTTTGGAAGTTGCTTGAAATAAATCTGTTTTGTCACAGATTCAGTGCTTGAATGTGTGCTGTGTTCTAACATCTGTGTAAATATCCAAGAACTGTGTGTTTCAGTTACAGTTCTATGAATGAAAAACCTGAACACTAAAGCACTCCAATAAATCCAAAGCCCTTCCAAGCTTTTGTCAGTAGGGAATAGAGAATGACAGAGTTTTCTCCTTCACATTTCTATTCCTTCCCCTGTTTACCAAAATATTTGCAATTGTTGCAAGCTACAGAACAAGCTTGTTTAAACCAACCTCTGACCAAATTTAAATACACCCCCTTGTTGTAAGGATGTGGTTGGCAGCTAAATGAGCCCCCCAACACAACCCGATAAAACTCTTATCATCTTCTTTGAAGTCCAAATTCTGATCTGATAGACAAATCACCACAGAAATCTTTAGGGTGGCTGGAAGGGTCATGAAGGGGAAATCGAAGACGGAATCATCTACTTTGAGGCTGCGAAATTTGTCTATGACCTCAGAGGCAGATTTCAGGTGCTTCTTTTCTCAGGACAATTTTCTAGGATCAGTGCACAATATTGCACAATAATATAGTTTCTCTGTGTCTTTATCAGCAAGGGAAATGACATGTTTTTGCAAGGGTTTCAAGCAGTTAATCCAAGTTTGATCTATAGTACTGTTAAATTTACCAGAGGCACCCAGGTTACATCAGCTATTTTTAAAAAACTTAGTGACAATACTCTTATGCATAAGTTGTCAACCATCTACCTTCACTGCATAAACATTCTCACATATATATTTTTTTTGTTTTCTTTCCCCCAACTAATGGCTGTTTCTAAGAATAACTTTCTTGCCTGGCAGGTTGACCAAGTAACAGACATCTAAGGTAGATGTTATCTTGTAGCTAAAAGAGATGTATCTTGACAGGTTTTATTTAAATTGTAGTGATAGATATGTTTAGCTACTTTAATGTCCTTTTTCAATGATGTCTTTTTTGGGTCCTTTTTAAGGAGAAAGGCAGAGTAAATAAAAAAAATTATTTTATTAAATAAAGTAGGATAAGATAAATACTCTAGCCTTTGAGAAATAGTTAATCAGAAATAGTTTTCTTATATTCCACTTGAGCAGCCTGGTGCTATGATTCCACTAGGATGCCTGCTTGTTTAAATGTGGTCAGGCCAGCCTCCTCTGGAGGCTAGAGGACATCAGAGGCCTATCCATACCCCTGGCATCAGCAGCTTCCTTGCCTGAAGTGCTAGCTGGAGGTCCTCAAGACTGCAAAAGAAGAACAGGCTAGTATAGCCTTTTGTATATGCTCTGGGCAATCAGTTGTCCATCATGAAAATTAGGACTTGAGTGCAATGATGTCTTTCCATTTTTTGTCTTTCAGCAACTAATATACAAGGGCATAAAGAAGTTATATATGGCCTTGGTGTAATTGATGGTACTAGCCATCATGAATGTTTCCAGTTCCCTTTTGAAAACTGTCCAGTGTAGCAGTCTTCAAGGCATTGTGTGACTGTTAATTTTAAATTTAACTATGTGTAGTGTGAAGGAACACTTCCTTTTATATGTCCTAAAACTTAACTATTTAACTTCAGTGGATGTCCCAGGGTTCCAGTATTCAGATAATGACAGAAAAGAAATCTTATCACTTTTCCACTCTATTCAAAATG